TTTAAAAAAAAAAAAGAATTTTGAAAAATAGAGGCATTCATAAGGTAAAAAGTGAATATTCTCCCCTGGATCCTCCTCCAAATCCCACTCTTCAGAGGTGACTAGGCATGAGTAACACTTGCTATGTCCTTCCAGGCCCTTCCAAGAATGTGTGTGGATATGTGGTCTTAGGTAACTTGCCTTTCACTCAGCAGTTAATTGTGGTCAGGGTTCCATGTCCACAAATCAAGTTCTACCTCAGACATATTCATGGCTGCTTAGCATGTTGTCATCCCCATTTCACTGCTCGGCCATCCCCTGCAGGTCTCCACTGATGGGTGTTTCATTTAAGTTTTTTCTAAGTTTTTAGTATTACCAAAATCACTACAATAAATATCTCAAGACTTAGATCGTTATACACTTGGGCAAGTATATCTGTAAAATAGATTCCTGAAAGCAAAATTCTAATCAAGAAATATTTATGAAGCAACTACTACATGCCATGCACCAAAGATTCCATAGTGAATTAAACAAAATTCCTGTCCTCATAGGGTTTACATTTTGGCGGGGTTGGGGGACAGACAAGCAAATAAAAAGTAAATGCAGTAGGTTAGATGGTGATAAATGTCACAAAGGAAATCAGCAGTAGGAGATAAAGGAGTGAAGTGGGGGTTACTGTTCCATGTGGGAAGGCCTCATTCACATCAGATGAGTTGGAGTAGAAATAGACAGGAAATGAGGGAACACTTTGGGCAGATAGCTGGGAAGAGCTTCTAGGCAGCAAGTGCAAAGGCCCTGAGGCAAGAGCAGGCTTGGTGTGTTTGAGGACCAGCAAGGCCAATGTGGCCAGAGCCAAGTAAGCAAGGAGGAGATTGGTGGGAGATGGGGTCAAAGAGATAGCAGGGGGTTAGACCACAAATGACCTTAGAGGACATGGTGAAGACTTTGGATTTTACTCTGAGTAACAAGCATGAAAGGATTTTGAGCAGTGGGGAGGTAAGATACGATTACATCATGAAAGGTCTGCTGTGGTGAGAGGTAGGATCAAGAGTAGGGACTATTAAACTAATCTTGGGAAAAGATGATGGCAGGGCCAGGACTGAGAATCAAGAAGGGGAACAGGTGGTTTGAGGAGAGAAGAGGAGGATTTAAAAGTGTGCCTGGCAGCACAAAGGGCCCAGTCGACCTCACATTTCAAGTGAAACAGTCAACGTGCCTGTATTTTCTCTAGCCACAACATTTGACCATCCGGGAAGCACCGAGTAGGTAGAAAGTCGGATTTAACCAGGGATGCAGTTTTCAGGAAGAGGATCGAGAGAGTTGAGGTCCTATGTAAGGAGGTGATGATAAAGATAGACCATGGATTTGCTTTGAAGTGAGATGACTGCCCCAGGCCTTTGCCACTTCCTCTGTGTCCTACTTTGGGCATTTTCTAGAAAGATGAAATATTGGGCACACTGTCTGTCTCCAGAGCAAGAGCCAGAACAGATTTTCAATGTCAGTTTTTCAAAATATGAGGACTTTTATCTTTTTTTTTAAAGATTTTATTTATTTATTTGAGAGAGAGAATAAGAGAGAGCATGAGAGGGGTGAGGGTCAGAGGGAGAAGCAGACTCCCTGCTGAGCAGGGAGCCTGATGTGGGACTCGATCCAGGGACTCCAGGATCATGACCTGAGCCGAAGGCAGTCGCTTTAACCAACTGAGCCACCCAGGCGCCCATGAGGACTTTTATCTTGATAATAACAATAGCTCTCAATGATGGCTAATAATAATCATCAAGAGTAATATAGTGCACTTTTCAAAACATGGTTTTACTCGATTACATCTCAGAGTACCACAGTTAAGAAACACTTCCCAAAACGCAAACACATTTCACCCCATGTACGAATCAAAAGAAAAGAAGCAGGATGGGCTGTGGGTTCCAAGCTAGGCAAGGAGAGATGTACGTGAAGGTAAAAGGCAGGAAAACCCCTGTTGACTGTCATGGTGAATTGGAAGGGTTGTTGGACTCCGTAGAGAGCAGTGGGCAAGGAGAGATGGGGGCCCGTGGTTGGACAGTGGGGCTCTTGAACCTGAGATTATGTGGGGGGGTGCACAGTTAGTGGTGATAACAAGGTCTAGGGCATGATGTGCCAGGTGTGGTGGAGAAGAGGTAGAGAGAGGAGGTCATGGCGGAGAGGCCAGGAAACGGGAAGGGTCGCCTGGGTGGATGTGGAAATCACTGAACATTCTGCAGTCCACGTCCGTGTCAGGAAGTGACTGCGAGCAAGAGCTCTTCACTGAACTGCGGACCGCAGTCGCTGGTGCCGGCTTTGGGGTTGTTTCCATTCTCGCCTCCACTCTGACTGCCTCTAACTCTGCAGGGTGCCGCAGGGGACACGGATCTCCTTATCCTCTTTCCCTCCAGCAGGAAAGCCAGCTAGATCTAACAGGTGGGCCCTCTGGGCCATCGTGTGTCCTCTGTACACACCTCTTAGGTCACAGGGAACTGTTCCCTGGAGTCCCTGCTTGTTGGACTCTAAATACACAAGAGGCTTTGGGGTGCATTCTGGAAACTACTAAAGCAATTTCTCTCCTGGAAAGTGTGCTTCTCTACCTGTTAATATGCCCGCCTGCTGGGGAGAGTTGGACCTTACCGAAGTGTCAATCGTCCCTCCAGTATTACGTGACCAGTTCGTGAGCTCAGGCTCAGGAGGCACTTAGGGCAGCGCCTGTAGCCGTGAGCTCCCGTGTCAGGCTGAGGTGCTCTTTCCTCATGTTATGCTCAAGGCCACTGAGGTCAGAGAGCTTGGGTGATTCCCCCAAGGACTCACATCGGGAAATGCAGAGGTGACATTCCAACTCAGGCCTATGTGCGTGGAGTCTGAGTTTTTTCACTAAGTGAGCTTTTCAGGTGTATATATCCTTCTGAATCCTAAGCCCCTGGACAGGGACAGACCTTAAACCCATTCACAGGAAGGATTCGGATCCGGTATTCCCCTCAGCCACTAGCATGACCCCCTGCCTGGAATCGGCGTTCATAAATATGTGACCACCAGTGACTCAGCCCTTCTTCTCTGCCTCTCCTCTCTGGACCTTTCATTCTTATTTCAGAGCCCCGCTACCCACATGCTGCCTGGGCCCTTCCTCTCACTGAGACCTCATCCCTCTAAAGGTGCTGGATTTGTGTTACTTAAATCCACTGCGAGGAGAGCAGGGTTTAGCCAGAAGCAATGGCTCCTCACGAAGGGGATCAGTAAAATAAGACATTTTATATAGATTCCATCAGGCCACGTATGTTAGGTGAGAGCCGGGATGTCTGCAAAGAATGCTGGCCGTCATTGGCAGACAGCCGGGGAGAGGAGGGACGTTTCTGTGCCCGGAGCTCATTTTTGGGACCCCTTCACTATTCACAGAGGGGGAGGCAGGCCGCCGCCGTGGGCTGGCGAGGCGTGGGGGGCTGCGTAACCCTCCTCCTCTTCCCATGTCCCCTAGATCATCCTGAACTTCACGTCCATGGATCTGTATCGCAGCCGTCTGTGCTGGTACGACTACGTGGAGGTCCGGGACGGCTTCTGGAGGAAGGCGCCCCTCCGAGGTAATGGCACTAGGCCGCCCCCCACCTCCTCTGCGGCTGAGCCCTTCGGGGTTTTAAATTGAAGTCTGATTGACATACAATATCTTCTTAGTTTCAGGTGGACATCATAGTGATTGGATAAGATTTGCCTTATGCTAATGGTCCCCAGGATAGGAATAGTTACCATCTGTCACCATACGACGTTATTACAATATTATTGATTATATGCTCTGTGCTGTACCTGACATCCCCCATGCCTTATTTATTTTATAACTGGAAGCTTGTATCGCTTCTCGGCCTTCTGGCTACGATCAAGTGTGTCGCTAGAACCTTGTATCTCTTAATCCTTTTACACCTATTCTGTCTATCCCCCCCCGCCGCCGCCCCCGGCACCCATCAGTTTGTTCTGTGTATCCATGAGTCTGTTCATTTGTTTTGTTTTTAGACTCCACATATAAATGAAATCATACAGTATTTGTCTTTATTTCATTTAGCACCATACCCCCTAGGGCCATCCGTGTTGTCACAAGTGGCAAGATATCATCCTTTTCTGTGCTGAGTAATATTCCACTGTATGGCTATCCCACATCTTAGTTATCTGTTCATCTACCGTGTCCACCTCTTGGCTGTTGTAAATAATGTTGCGATGAGCAGGAGGGTGCACATAGCTCTCCGAATTGGTGTTTTCATGTTCTTTGGATAAATACCCGGAAGTGGGATTGCTGGATCATAGGGCAGCTCTGTTGTTAATTTTGGGGGAAGCTCCATACTGTTTTCCACAGTGGCTGCACAGATTGACGTCCCCACCAGCAGTGCACAGGGTTCCCTTAGCACCACGTCCTCAAACCTGTTCTCACTTGTCTTCTTGACACCAGCCAATGTGACCGCTGTGAGGTGACATCTCATGGTAGTTTTGATTTGCATTTCCCTGATGATGAGTGATGTTGAGCCTCTTTTCATGTGCCCATTGGCCATCTCTACAGCTTCTTTGGAGAAAAGTCTATTCAGATCCTCTGCCCATTTTTTATTGGGTTGTTTGGTTTTTGGATACTAACTTGTGTAAATTCTGTATGTATTTTGGATATTAATCCCTTATCTAATATGTGATTTACAAATATCTTCTCCCATTCAGTAAATTGCTTTTTTGTTTTGTTGACAGTTTCCCTCACCTGACAGAATTGCACAGGCTAATTCCTTCTTAGAACTACTTAGATCACAGTCTCTTCATCCTCCCCTGAAACCCAAAGCCTGGCCAAGGGTGATCTGGCCACCCTGGTGTGGGAGCCAAGAGTCCCGGTAGAATTCGTGCCTTCTAGCTCCATCTCTAGTCCCTTCCCCGATCTGGACCTCAGGGTCCTCGGTACGGGCTTCTGGGCCTCCCACAGAGGTGATGCTCAGTGTGTGGGTCGCGGGAGTCATACAAGTGACAGAGGGAGACAGACAGGCACAACGCCACAGCTCCAGGCTCTCTTCCGCATCTGGGCACTTTCAGAGGCTCCATTTTCTCGCTCTGCAAGATCTGGCTTAAGGGTAGCCTGGCACACCACAGAGGGCTCCCCACCTGGCACAGTGGGCCCAACTTGTTTGCACAGGAGACTTTGTCCCTTGGTGGTGAGGGGAGTGGTGAGTAAGTGGGGGGCGAGTGGTCAGAAGCACGGGACAGAAGGTGCTTTAATGGCATAGAGTTAGGGCCAAGAGAGGCTTTTGCTTCAAGCCTGAGGAGCTGTATGCATTCTCCTCCTCCAATCTGGACATACTCCTCGGAAGCCCAGGACCGCCCATTAACATTAGAACCTTTGTTCCACGTCCTGGGCCTGAAGCAGGCTGACCAATCGTTGCTAACCATCTCTTCTGATATTTGAATATTTCTTAGTAGTCACCCAAAGCAGCTGTCTTTACAACACTTCCTCCTGAAGACGTGGTAGCGTGTCCAAGATTCCACTTTCTTTTTCATAACTTACATTCCTGGGTCAGCACCCTCTGTCCCTTGCCGAAGGTTGGGAAATACCCAATCTTCTTTGGAACACACAAGTCATCCCTCATTGATTCTTGACTACAAAGGATTCCACAAATGGCCATCCTCATCTGCTGACACGGATCCTTGTCAGGGTTTATTTCAAAGGGGACATTTTCTGACCCAGTTCCTAGATTCTAGGATTTACTTGGGTCCTCTGGCATCTCTTGCATTTGGTCAAATGAAAACATTTTGTAATGTACAAAGAAAGGCTGTGTTCATTCTTGGTGATTACTTGTTTGCATGGAGATCAAATAAGAAAAGTAATGATAAAAAAAAAAGTAATGACGGCAATATGCTCCTTTAAGAAAAAGTAAATAAAACATAGATACAGCTGGTTATTGTGAGGAGCCCCCTTTCCTCCCCGAACTCAATATTCCATCCCTCAAGTGCACAGAACCCTCTAGAAGTCTGGTACGCTCTGGCTCTTCAGGGCCCTGCTAGGTCTTGGACCAGACTCAGGCCACCTGCAGGGTCTTGGGATTTTGTGCCAAGTGCAGAGCAGGGCCAGAGCCCCTGAGGCCCCTGGAGCAGCAGGGCGGGCTTCCTGGTGCAGGGAGGGGAGAGCGCCCTGCTTCAGGCCTCACTGCCCTCTGTGCACACTGTCTGCACAGGCCGCTTCTGTGGGGGCAAAATACCCGAGCCTATTGTCTCCACCGACAGCCGCCTCTGGGTGGAGTTCCGCAGCAGCAGCAACTGGGTCGGAAAGGGCTTCTTTGCCATCTATGAAGGTACTGCGGAAGCGTGACAGGGAGGAGTCAGCTATGGGGTCCCCGGGCATCCCAGAACCGCCTGCTCCTGGCACCGCAGGGGCGAGGTTGAGGGCCCATGAGGGAGGATGCAGAGATCCCGGTGGGATTGGCCAGGCCCGGGGGCGCTAAGAAGCTGGGGGACGTGGGGAGGTCTGGAGGAGGGGGAGAGAGGGGCTCTCTCACTGACCTCACGCTGTGTCCCCAAAGCCATCTGTGGGGGAGATGTGAAGAAGGACAATGGCCACATCCAGTCGCCCAATTACCCTGATGATTACCGGCCCAGCAAAGTCTGCATCTGGCGGATCCAGGTGTCTGAAGGCTTCCACGTGGGCCTCACCTTCCAGTCCTTTGAGGTAGGTCAGAGACCCTTCGGTCCCACCTCTTCGTGGGCTTCCGGTGTTGGGCCCTGGCAACCAGCGCTCCTCCAGCTGACCGAGCCCCCGACCCTCAGATCGAGCGCCACGACAGCTGTGCCTACGACTACCTGGAGGTGCGTGACGGGCACAGTGAGAGCAGCACCCTCATCGGACGCTACTGTGGCTACGAGAAGCCTGATGACATCAAGAGCACATCCAGCCGCCTCTGGCTCAAATTTGTCTCTGACGGATCCATTAACAAAGCCGGCTTTGCTGTCAACTTCTTCAAAGGTGCTCCTTCCCGCCCCCCACCCAGCCCAGCCCCATGGCTAATCCATCCCCTTCATTCCTTTTTCTGGCTTTTAAAATTGCACTGTATTGTGGTCAGAACACTTAGCTTGAGATCCGTCCTCCGAAAGCATGTTAAGTGTACTCGACAGTAGGGCCGACTGTAAGCACAGTGCTCATGTAGCACATCTCTAGGGCGTGCTCATCTTGCTCGACCGACACTTCATGCCTGTTGATCATTTCCCATTTGATACCATTTCCCCCTCCCCTAACCCCTGGCAACATCATTCCACTCTGTTTCTTTGAACTTGACTTTATTTATTTATTGGATTTGACTATTTTAGATAGCTCATGTAAGTGGAATCCCGCAGGACTTGTCTTGTCTGTAACTGGCTTATTTTACTTAACGCAGTGTCCTTAAGGGGCACCCGGGTGGCTCAGTTGGATAAGCGTCTCAGGTCATGATTTCAGGGTCCTGGGATCGAGCCCCGTGTTGGGCTCCGCGCTCAGCAGGGAGTCTGCTTGAGATTCTCTCTCTCCCTCTCCTTCTGCCCATCCCCCCACTCATGCTCTCTCTCTCCCCCCCCTCAAATAAATAATCTTTAAAAAAAAAAAATAATAATGCCCTTAAGATTCATCCATACTGCATATGGCAGAATTTCCTTCTTTTTTAAGGCTGAATAGTATTCCACTGTGTGTACGGAACACATTTTTTAAATTGAAGGATAATTGACATACAATATCCTATTAGTTTTAAGAATACAGCATAGTGATTCGACTGCATTCCCTACGCTGTACATTGCATCCCCCTGTCTTATTTATTTTATAACTGGAAAATTGTACATCTTAGCCGCCTTCACCTCTCTTGTTCATCTCTCCAGCCCCTCCCTATCAGTTTGTTCTCCGTATCTATGAGTATGTCTCTGTTTTGTTTCGTTTGTTCATTTGTTTTGTTTTTAGATTCCACATATAAGTGAAAGCATGTGGCATTTGTCTTTCTCTGTCTAGCTTATTTCACTTAGTGTGAATTCACTTAGTTCATGGTGTCACCAATGGCAAGATTTCATTCTTTTCTGTGGCTGAGTAATATTCCACTGTATGGCTCTCCCACATCTTCTTTATCCATTTATCTGTCAGTGGACACTTCAGATGCTTCCATATCTTGGCTGTTATAAATAACGACGCAATGAACATGGGGGTGCGTATATCTCTTCAAATTGGCGTTTCATTTTCTTTGGATAAATACCCAAAAGTGGAATTGCTGGATCATATGGTAATTCTATTTTTAACTCCTGAGGAATCTCCATACTGTTTTCCACAGTGGCTGCACCAATTTGCATTCCCACCCACAGTGCAGAAGGGTTCCCATTTCTCCACTCCTCTGCCAACACTTGTTATTCTTATCTTTCTGATACTATCCATTCTGACAGGCGTGAGGTAATATAGCTCAATGTGGTCTTGATTTGCATTTTTCCTGACGATGAGTGATGTTGGTCTGTTGGCCATCTGGATGTCTTCTTTGGAGACATGTCTATTCAGATCTTCCTACCATTTTTAAATTAATAGTTGTTTTTTTAAATATTGAGTTTTATGAGTTCTTTATATATTTTGGATGTTAACTACTTATTGCATATAACATTGGTAAATATCTTCTCCCACTAAGTTGCCTTTTCATTTTATTGTCGGTTTCTTTCACTGTGTGAAAGCTTGTTAGTTTGACGTTGTCCCATTTGTTTATTTTGCTTTTGTTGTCCTTGCCTGAAGAGACAGATCCAAAAAAAATATCACTATGACCAATGTTAAAGAGCTTATTGCCTGTGTTTTCTTCTAGGAGTTTTATGGCTTCAGGTCTTATATTTAAGTCTTTAACCCATTTTTAGTTTCTTTCTGCGTATAGTGTTGATAAGTGGTCCAGTTGCATTCTTTGGCATGCAGCTGTCCAGTCTATTTATTAAAGAGACTGTCGGGGGGCCCCTGTGTGGCTCAGTCGGTTAAGCGTCTGCCTTCGGCTCAAGTCATGATCCCGGGGTCCTGGGATTGAGCCCCGTATCAGGTTCCCTGCTCAGAGGGGAACCTACTTCTCCCTCTACCTCTGCCTGCCGCTCCCCCTGCTTGTGCTCTCTCTCTCTTGCTCACTCTCTCAAATGAATAAATAAAATCTTTAACAAAAGAGAGGGACTGTCTTCTCCCCATTGTATATTCTTGCCTCCTTTGTCATAGGATAATTGACCATGTAATCACGGGGTTTTTCCTGGACTCTGTTTTCTCTTCCATTGATCTATTTTTCTATTTTTGTGCCAGTACCATACTGTTTTGATTTATTTGTTTTTGATTATAGCTTTGTAGTGCAGTTTGGAATGTGGGAGCGTGCCACCTCGAGCTTTGCTCTTCCTCAGGATTGCTTTGGCTGTTCAGAATCTTTTGTGGTTCTGAACGGGTTTCAGGATCACGTGTTATAGCTCTGTGAAAAATGGTATTTTGATCAGGATTGCATCAGATCTGTAGATTGCTTTGGGGGTATGGACGTTGTAACAGTATTAATTCTTCCCATCCTGTACCACATTTTCTTTGTCCTCATCTGTTGGCGGACATTTAGGCTGTTTCTACATTTTGGCTATTGTGATGTTGCTGCGGTGACTTCACACGTTGTTTATTCAGCAATTCACAGAGGCTCTAGGAGGGATGCAGAGACCCTGGTGCCCTCCCTTGAACTGATGGCCTAACTGGGGAGAAAAGGTCAATTCCATTGAAAAACTGCATATCTCATTGACTAAATGACAAACTTATATAAAAGTAGTTTGCACATGGTAGGTCCTCAACTCTGAATTGAAATAATAATTCAAGAGTTGCCTTAAAGTCCAGAAGTTTGTAAGAAGAAAGGCCAATGAGGCACGGAGGCAGAAAGTGCTGTGGAAGCTTGGGGAGGAAGCCAGACAGTGTGGGTTGTTGTTTTTTTTAACTGGTATCACGGTGGGCAGGTCATCTTCTGAATCTCATTTCCTCATCTGTAAAATGGGGATAGTAACAGTCCCTCCATCACAGGTCATGTCAGAATTAAAGGAGAAAGGAGGAAATAGTACTTAGCCAGGGAATGGCATACAAGAGGAACCAGTCCATGGTGGCGGCCACCAGCCCAGCCATTGTGGTCAGAGGAAGGCTCTGTGGGGGTCCGCCTGTCCCCTCTTTCAGGTCGTAACCTGTCCCTTTGGGGCTCTCAGGAGTAGGGTCCCCTGGGGACTGAGTGGGGGCTGGGTGGGGCAGGGAGGCCCACAGCCTCAGAGCTCTGAGCGGTCCACAGCCGACTGCCGGTCCCTGCACTGGGGCTGGAGGTGGTCACAGGAAGCCTGAGGGACTGTGGACCTGACTCGCGAGCAGAGGGCGGGAGGAGAGACCCAGGCCCCAGCCTGGCAGTCATTGACCCCCTTTCCTTCCAACTGGCAGAGGTGGATGAGTGCTCGCGGCCCAACCGCGGGGGCTGCGAGCAGCGGTGTCTCAACACGTTGGGCAGCTATAAGTGTAGCTGTGACCCCGGGTACGAGCTAGCTCCGGACAAGCGCCGCTGTGAGGGTGAGTGCCCCCCTCCCCGGGACCCAGGCCCTTAGCCGAGATCTCTCCTGCTCTTGGACACTCCCCTCCCTGGAGGGACTGGGACTCCCTAGAACGTTCTTCACGACGGGGGGACAAGGAAGACATTCTATCCTGCAGGCCCCCAGAACACACTTACCAAGTGTGACGCACTCTGGGTTGGTTTTGTTTTGTTTTGTTTTTCATCTCTATTCGCTTAAAATGCTGACCTTGACCGACTGATGGGTTTCGTCACCCTCCAGAAGGGTCATGATCCCCAGTTTGGAAACCACTGTCCTCAGACACACACTGATTTTTTGGCCTCTCCCGATACCCGGCCCAAGGTGAAAGCTGGTGAAAGCACTCCCTGTCAGAGCCTCCAGCTCAGCCTGGTCTTGCCTTCTCTCCCTGCCTCGCCATGCTTCCAGTCCTCCCTGCACACCGGCCCAGCCTTCCCTGAGCCCCTCACCCCCCTCCTCCCTCTCAGCAGATGTCCTGGCAGTTCTGTCGCAGAGAAAGTAGAAGTGTTCACACATACGACTCCTCAGTTCCTCATACTCTGAAGATAACCGCCCCCCCACCCTGCCTGCTTCCCTCCCATTCCTGAGAGACGAGACACAAGCCCCGGGACTGCAGGGAATCCAAGATCCCCATCTCCCCAATGCACCCAGCACCTGTCTCTGGCCCGTACCTAGAGTGGGGGCTCCTGGCAGGTGATGGCACCTCTCTTGTCCCCCCAGCTGCCTGTGGTGGCTTCCTCACCAAGCTCAATGGCTCCATCACCAGCCCCGGCTGGCCCAAGGAGTACCCCCCTAACAAAAACTGCATCTGGCAATTGGTGGCCCCCACCCAGTACCGGATCTCCCTGCAATTCGACTTCTTCGAGACCGAGGGCAATGACGTAAGTGCTCATTGGGCTGAGGAGACGCAGGAAGGTCTGAGGCATGGGAGCCGGCTTCCTTCCCTATAAAAGAAATACCCAAAGAATGTAGAGGAGGAGAGACTGCTCCCAATTCCAGGAAGCAGGGGAGGGTTGGGGAGGAGGGCTTGAAGGCCAGGGAGCGCGCACGTGGCGATGTGGAGCGAGGCAAGACTTGGGCCTTGTGTGGAGAGCACAAGAAGATCTAATGGGGTTGACGTGGCACCTCTTTGAGTTATTAGAGTCTGTAAAGTGGGTGACTAAAGACAAAAGGACCCACACAACAGGGAGCCTTCCCAGGTAGGGGTGGTCAGGGGAGACTTCCTGGAGGAGGCAGGCCTGGAGCTGCCCTGCCCTGCAGGTGTGCAAGTATGACTTCGTGGAAGTACGCAGTGGGCTCACAGCCGACTCCAAGCTACATGGCAAGTTCTGTGGCTCCGAGAAGCCCGAGGTCATCACCTCCCAGTACAACAACATGCGCGTGGAGTTCAAGTCCGACAACACAGTCTCCAAGAAGGGCTTCAAGGCCCACTTCTTCTCAGGTAACCCGGACTCCCCAGCTCTGAGCCTGCCTCCCCTCCTCCCTGCCACTGGACCCCTGCACTTTCTAGCCCTCCCTGTTGCCAGGCCAGCAGGCTCTGTCCCCTCCTCCCCCCACTAGCCCTCCACCACCAGGCCAGCCCCTCCATTCCTGAACCCCATTACTCCCGAATCCTCTGGGCTATATGGGAGCCAGCCTGAGGATGGGCAGGACACAGACATGCAGAATCGAAAGGAGAGGGCTTTCCAGGTATCAGGAGCCATTATGCTGAGGTCCCAGAGAGGGCAGGCCCTGGGAACAGGGAGTTCATCATGGCCAGAGAATGCGGGGTACATGCAGAGGAGGAGGATGTTTGCCTTGCGCTGTGTGGGCCAGATGATCTGGCAGCGGCCACATCTCCGATCAGACCCTACACATGCCAAACGGGTTCATGCCGGGGCCTTCAGAAAAGATGAGGAGCCTCCCTCTCTTCAACACCAAAGCCTTCCCACTCACCCTCAGCCCACAGGTGGGGGACTCAGATCCAACCAGCATGTGTTTATTGAGAGCTGCCCCACATAAGGCTTGGGATCAAGTCCCTCTGATGGCCTCATCTTTGGGTGGCCTGAGAGGTAGCCAGCCCCTCTGAGCTAGGCCTCCAGGGGTCCCAGAGACCTTTCCCCTGTTTTAGTCATCCCTCTGTCCTTCATCCCGGGGCAAGGCTGGTGGTCTTTCAGAGGCAACTGGACCTGGGACATAGTGTGGGGTGGGGACTCCATGAAACTGAGTGGGGGGAGTGGGAGGCAGAGGGAGTGGCTGGAGCGGCTGGTTTTCTGGGGGAGTGGCCCAGGGATCCTGATCCCCAGCAGGCCTGGTGGGCCGGGCATGGGGTGGCAGGAAGGCAGGAAGCCCATGGCCTAGTCCATGCTGCCTTCCTTCTCCCCTCCTTTGCCCAGGATCCTGCATCCTCGAGCCCCCTCTGTTGTGGCCCTGCACCCCTGCCTGCCCCACCTGGATGCCATGCACTGCCCCTGTGCCCTGGTCCCTGCTTGGCACTGCCAGCCATCCTGCTCTGCTTACAGTCCCCCCCCAGCCCCTGCCCCCTACTGCTTGCGGAGACCCCTCCCCGTGCAGCGCGAATCCTTTTCTTCCCTGTGCCCACCTGGAAATCCTACAGGGTGCTCACCAGAGGGCTGAGGGGATGTAACACCTACTCGGGGGTGGGCTCGGTCCTGGGGCAACCATTACCTGCTTACTCTTGTCTCTTCCTGCCCTTCTGTTGCTCCAGTCTTGGAGGGGGGAGGGGGACCAACACCACCTCTGTCAGGCCTAGAGCCCAGGGCTCTCCACCCCCGGGTACTGCCCTGCCCTGGCATGACACTGGGCCAACCACCCCTCAGCCCCGCACAGACACACACACGCCTGCACACCTGCACACGCACACACGTGCGATGCCCTGCGGCACAAGAAACCTGCAGAGGACCCTCACCGGTGGGCATCAAGGTTGAGCCCTCAGGGCATGGGGCATCTGACTCTGGCCCCCCAGGAGGGGGGCTCTTTGGACTTTTGGGACACCCAGCGAGGAGACCCTAAGCCAAGAAGGAGAAGAAAGAGCCTGAAGACCTTCATTCTGACCCCAGCCACCTTCCGGGGCATTTGGCACTGGAGGGTGAGTGCCATCTCCTTGTCCGGGCCCGTGTCCACCCTCCCTGCTCCTGTCCCTCCTGCAGCCTGCTCCCCTGGTTCCGAGGTGAGGCTACCACTCCCGCCCACCCCCA